AAATGTTCGAAAAATAAGAAGGGAAATTTATTTAAGAGCTTGCTCATGGCTCTTCTCCGGCGCAGGAAAATGGGCTAATTTAAACATGAAATTTTGTATGTCATTCTTTCTTTAAAATGGGTCGGAGATTTATTAGTTAAGGCACTGATTGTTGAATGTAATTTGTAGTTTAATATTTCGAAATTTGTTTATATTTAATCAGTATTAATTATGCCAGTGCTCGTGTGATTATTCATGCTTGGTGATGTATGCCTGTGTTTATCATGATTTGACGTTTTTTTTTGTAATCTGGAGCATATTTACTTGTGATTTTATAATGTATACACACTAAGGGTCTATTTGGGGTAGTTTATTTGGTGTGGTGGCGTTTTGAAAACGCACCTGGCCTGTTTTTATGCGTTTTCAAAATGTTAAAAACAGTGTTTTTATATTGCATATACTAGGTGTGATAACAGCTTTCTGGCAGCGGTTTTGTTTTTCCAAAAAAAATAAAAATTTGTAATAGCCACCGCACCTAGCTTATTATCATATTATTTTTAATCAGTTTATCCGCAGAATATTCAATAAACTACAATTGCCCCAAACAGATCTTAAAATTCCTTTTTTTTTTTAATGAAACATAAACTCACTTGTGTTTTTTCTTACTTTGAATGAGATCTGGAACAAAGAAAATTAATGAAACTGAATTAAACTAATTTTTTCAGGGTTTGGTGAAGCTTTCAATAAAAATGCCGTATTTTTCATATTTTAAGTACTTGTTACTTACATTTGAATGCAACTAAAAAGGAAATATAATTATAAACTAAAATGAATATGTTTTCAAAAATTCGTTTTAAATATAAAATGCCTTTAGATTACTGAAAGAAAAAGTTTTTTTAGATTATTTTAAAATTTTTCATCTTTATTTTGAACATTAACATTTAAAATTTTTAGTAGATCCATAGATTTTATTTATTAAAATAATCTATTATTAGATCTAAATGTCTTGTAGGGTACATTGAAGGTATAGAGTGTATGATGGACAATGGAATAAAGGGAGAGTAAGAGAATAAGAGAGAGAGAGTGAGAGTGAGTGCGTAGGAATAAAGGGAGAGTAAGAGATTAAGAGAGAGAGGGTGAGAGTGCGTAGCAACGTAGAGTTTTGATAAAGTAAATTCAATTGTTTTTTATTATTATTATTGAAGAAATGACTTATTTCTAGGTATAGGGAGTATTATGTGTAAAATTACATGTTTGTCTTTGTTTTAATAGATATTACAAGTTATTATTACACCATTTAATATTTGTAATTGGCTCCAACATCATTTTCACATTTGTAATTGATAATAGCACTATTTAGTATTCATAAATGCATGAAGTGGAGCATCTGATGACCTAGCAATCGTATCGTTCGGTTGGCTGAAAGCGTTTGTTTGAAAACCATATATTATGTCAGTTGAATGGTCATTGTTCGGACCTTTCAGCGGAATGCTAAGTAAAGACCCTCTTGCTATTAGGGTGAGCTTAAGTCGTTAGATAGAGGGTGTATCACAATAATCTGAAGGGCATCTCTCCATGGACAAGATTCCTTCTCAGAAGATCAAAAAGTGTTTCACAAGGTGCCCTTTGGCCATCTTAATGAAGAGTTTCAAAATTGGTTGAGGGAGCTGGCCATGAACCACTGATTATGTGTCTTTTATTCATTTGTTCGGCTGTGCTTTTATTTCGTGGACTCAAAGTTCCGATCGAATAGAATGACTCTTGTTTTTTTCATGTTTTGACTCTCAATATATTACCCTTTTGTGCTCATGTGTGGACCCGTTGGATTTTCTCGAGATTCATTCAGTCATATTTTTTTGTGCATATTTAGTTTCCTGTTTTTCTTATTAAAAGTGACAAATGCAATAGGAATAAAAGAATTAAATGTAAAAAATTAACTTATTTATTACGTAATAAGTACTTTCAATAATTGAACTTCTTGGATTTTTGTGCCCGTAGTCTCTAAAAATAGGGCATAATTAGCACTTCTCCGTCACATTTTTTGAATTTTCTGCCGTCCAAGCAGTTGTTAAAAGGAGAGAGTTATGGTGACTAGTAAGAAGTCATATACAATTGAGGCGGCCATGATGAAATCCACTACTACAGCACTCGCGGGGCTTCTTCCGAAGCCCACAAACTTATGTAAATACATAAGAATTAAGTGCTATTTATGCAAATATTTCTTTTACTTAACCAATAGTTGGGGCATTTAATACATACTAATTTTCTATATATATATATATATATAATATGTAGCACATTTAAAACTTCACATTTACATTTAGAAACATTTACATATATAAAGACCAAGCAATTCTTATGTGTTTACATATCCAACACCTAAACTTTCATTTTTACATCTATACCACATTAATTTTTAAGAAGTGATTCACATTTCCATGCGCAGGAAACGTGGTATGTATGTAAATATTCATCACATTAATAATAGCTACTGTCTCAAATTTTAAATAGTGAAATACACCTAATCTTGCAAAAATCAAAACGCTAAATACATGAAATTGGAACTTTGGGCATTAGATATAAAAATGCATATGAATTGAGTAATATGTATGTAATCCTTTTTTAAAATAATAAAACAAAGCCTTAAATAAAATAATAATGGGATATCAAGAAGTTACATTAAAATTTTTCAAATTTTAAACAAAAATCATTTTTTTCTTAAAATATGAAATCCTAAAATAGAATAATTTAATAGACAAAATGCAAAATACAAAAAGCAAAAAACAGGGAAAATAAATAAATAATAAAAAACCTAGTGGAAGATTTAATGTGAGTATCACCTTTGAGTTTAAGACTAAAAATGGAGAGAATTAGTCAATAATAGAATTGAAATAACAGGAGAGTTCGCCAACAAAGCGCCCTCATAGAGAGAGAAAAAGAGTTGAAACACAGACTTTAAGCTGAGAGCATGGAAATAATTAAAAGTAATTTAAAAGCATTTTCCAGTCATATGCATCCTACTTAATCATCATAAGGTAAGGCAATGAAATCTATTTAAGAAGCATGAGAAAAACACCACACAAATTCTTTAAAACAAGAGAAATTCACTATCCAAATTTTTACAAATAAGAGACAACAATAATTACAAACATTACTTGTCTTTCTCTCATTTACAATGATCTAAAGATGCTTAACCAAGTCTCATTTTGAACCTGGGCTGCTGCTCCTGAAGGCTCTCCCTCTCCTCTTCACTAGAAGAAGAAGAAGATGGACTCTACAGTAAGCTAACCCTCACAATTCATCAATCTCTCCACATTCAGCAATCCTAGCAACCCCTTTTCATCCATCTTCTTAAGCCCCAATACATGCCTATATATAGACTCAATTACTTAGCAAAAAAATCAACCCACGGTTACTAAAACCGCTCCAAGATGTTGTTGGTGCCTATGCGCCTAGAGGCTAGCACCTATGCACCAGTCTCACTATTTGCTGAAGAAGGCATGGGCGCCTAGTTGCTCAGTGGTTGGCGCCTAAACGCTAACTTCTTGGGATGTCCAACTAAGGGACTGGTGCTTAGGCACTCAAGGGTCCGGCGCCTAGGCACCAGTCCTTGATTAATCTCCTTTGCTTCAAATCCCCTCTATGTTTCCTCAATTTTATTACATGTTGTATCTACAAGAAAAACATAAAATTATATTTCTTTCAAATGCAATCTCATCCATAAAAATGTGTAAATCATAAGGAAATATTAGCATTCTTATCTACACATTACTAACCAAATCTGACCCAACCAAGGCCTGACTTAATTTAGACTCGACCGAGCTTAAGTCTAGTCCAACCTAACCCAAACTCTAAAACCTAACCCCATGTCTGATCCAACCCAGAGCTGACGCAACCTAGACCCGACCCAACTCAATTTTAGTCCAATCTAATTAAAATGAGCTGAAACACCTTAAAATTACCAAAATGACCCTAAACACCCTGAAACTATATAAAGTCCAAAACAAACCCCACCTGGGTCAACCCAAGTCAACTCGGTTAAAACCAAATCAAACCCAAACCTACATGGGTCAACCTAAGTTAACCTGAGTTAACCCAAATCAAACAAAAACCTACCCGGGTTCACCCAAGTCAACCTAGGTCAACCCGAACCAAACCCAAACCAACCTGGCTCAACCTAAGTCAAGGCAGGTCAAACCAAACCAAACCTAAACCTAAACATACTCGAGTCAACCCGGGCCAACCTAAATCAAATCTTAGCTAACCCAGGCCAACCCATGTCGATCTAGTTTAGACCTGAACTATCATAAATCAACCCAAGTCTAATCTAAGGCTATATTTATGTTATTTCATGCATGTGTCTATGTTTTATTGCATTATTTCATGTTACGTTACATTATTGAATGTCTTTCATGTTTTATTATATTTTTCATGTTTAAAAACAAAAAAAATAGAGAAAAATAAAACCAAAATTAAGGACAGAAGCCCATTTCAGGCGATTTTCTTCTAAAAAAACTAAATTAAATTAAAAATAACGAACTTCAAAACTTATAAAACCTTGATTATCCAACATAACTGTCAAGATCTAAGGATTGGAAAAAATGATTAATTTAATATTGAACATCAAAATGAATTAAAATACACCAAGATAAAGAACGAGAATCATCCTAAGAAAATCCAACATGAAGTTTGGGCTAGCTAACTTAGACACCAAACTTAGGGCCACACACCTACCCTAAGTTATTATGAGTATAAAAGCCTAGGTTAGCCTTTGTATCTTAACTTGTTCTAAGGATTATGACCTATAAATTAAATAAACCTACCCCTCGAGACCAGGGGGAATACTTTGAAGGATGTAACCCATAGTTTTTTATGAAGATATTTCAAACCTCCTCGGGACTACGAATCCCTTGAGCTATGACACTTAAGGGGGATTCCAGGAAGAAAGCCATGAGCATCTTGACCGGGTAAATCCTTTTCAGTGTCTAGGTTAGTCCACCTATAAGGATTCCTTATAGAGTATAGGCTTTCATTTTCCATTTAGAAATCATTGTTACCAAACTCTATTCCTAGTTTAGTTTTCCCAGTCACTTATATCTGTCAAATTAAGTTTTTTCTCATTAATCTATTGACCTAACATGATCAAATTCTCCATCTTAAATTTTTAAAATCACTTCTCATCAGGTATAGCTATCTATCCAAATCCTTTTTATCATGAAATTGTAAATCCCATTCATCCTCCCTTATAAAGCTTAATCTTGAACAATTTGGTTTATTGTATTAATCAAGAGTTTTCTTTAGACTCTATGATTCTAGAGATGTAATTAACTGTGAGAGTTTGCCCTTCTAGAAAATGAGGTTCCCAAAATCTTACAACTGACAAATCTTGGTTCCGCATACTAGTACAAATTTTCTTATTTGGATGATTAGGTCCATTCTGTGGTAATAATTCTAACCTTCAAGGTAATATATTATTCTTTCAATGCAGTATCCGATCATTCGATAGAAATATTTCGGGAATTATGGTGGTTACGTAAAAAGCACCCACCAGATACTTCTTTAATTGGTGACAAATTATTAAATGTAAAATCTAGTCTAGTGGATAAAGTTATATGTTGTCCTTTTAGGGGTATAATAGAATTTTATATTATTCATTAAGGGATATAATCGAATATTCTACAGACTTTACTATTGGTAGTAATATTAAAGAGCTAGCAAAAAGGTCATTTGAAGCTTATTCAATGTGCTTGGTAGTTTCATAATGATTGAGATGCTCTTAGGGATCAATGAACTCATCATAAAGATTTATAGCAATCAGATTTAGTTTTTATGAAAATTTGATGGTAGAGAATTTTATTTATCTAAGATGAGGACTCTTGGAAGCTACTTCAAAAAATAAATTGATTTATGTCCCTCATAAAATATTTTACTTGAACAAAATGTTACAACTCATATCATATAATATCATAAGGGGTGTCCAGAAGCATCGTAACACTATGTCCACCAAAGCTATTGGATAAGTAAAAGTTGGTTAGGTAATATGAGAATGATGAGTTTAACTAAGGAGGTCAAGAAGTTCTAGATTAGCTTATAGTGGATTAAAAAAATTAAATATAAAAATAAGAAAATCATACATAAACATCCTTAAATTGACTCTAACCTTTGGGTAATGAATTTGCAACTAATATTACCCATCATGCTATGACCACCATGTATTAGCTAATCTTTTAAGATTTAAAGGATTTTAGCTTGATATTTTTCCATTCTATGCATGCAATCCTCTAGTGATAAAACTTTGAAGATTACTCGAGCTTGATTTTAACATGCTTGATTGTAAGCCTAACTTTTGGACTAGTAGTTGTTCGAGTAAAAGGGTCTACTATTGTAAGCAGTATGTCTATTAGAAATTGTACGTGCTTGTAGAAAATTGAGCTATTTCTCATAAATGGTGTCACATGTTTTGTGCTTGTAAAATATTGAAATATTTTTTATAGATGGGGTCAAAACATTACATCTTATAATTCACGAGAATAAAGTAATGATTTTACATCCAAACTTCACTTAAGAATTTGGCACATAAATATATAGATGAAAGATTAGAAATTGTATGTGCTTGTAGAAAATTGAGCTATTTCTCATAAATTGTGTCACATGTTATGTGCTTGTAAAATATTGAAATAATTTTTATAGATGGGAACAAAACATTACATCTTATAATTCATGAGAATTAAATAATGATTTTACATCCAAACTACACTTAAGAATTTGGCACATAAATATATAGATGAAAATAATATAAAAGGCATTAAAATTTTTATGTGAAAATCTTTTAAAGGGAATAAAAAACTAGGACTTGGTCTGGATAATGATCTATCAATCTGGTTGAGATTATAAGAACCTACTCCACTCTAATTACAAAAGATGATAAATAAAAGTAATGCACTCCACACTACACCCTAATTTTGGTGCTAATGGTCAAAATAGTGCAAAGCAAAGATAATGTGATGATAATTAAGTGATAATAGTTGGATAATGACACTTAAGAGATGATAATTAAGTGATGGTGATCCATAGATGATGCTCAATTGATGACAATAGAACAATGATGGTAGGGAAATGGTTATTTGGAAGTGAAAGTCAGGTGACAATATTCAAAGATGATAAATATAATTAAATTTTCAAAACACTCCATTAAACAGCTAGTATCATTTCCTTTAATCTTTCATCATACAAGCATCTTAATGACATTTAAATTATGAAATCTTGAGTTCATTGAATTCCTTTCATCGAAATATTTGATTTTTTTTTATAAGCATCATAAGTATTTCTCTTTAAACCATGGTAGAATTCTCTCAAAAGCATTTAATAAAAAAAAAAAAAAAGACCAAGTGATAAAAACCAAAAGAATGGCTATAATTGAAAATAAACTCACACTCATCCACTAAAATAATCATCAAGATGCTACCTGCCTGCATTTACATTCCCCCAAACAGCTAACAAAGCCTTGATCAGTAGTTAATTAATGAATATTTTACTCTCAAAACAATCTTCCCTTTCTCCACTCCAAGCTTGCCCCCAGTCACAATCCAATGCCCAGGAACATCATCAGGGCCTTTGGACATCTCAGACATATCTACAAGCTTCTGCAGCTTCCCCACAACCTTAGAGCTTGAGCTCTGTGAATCTGTTGAATTTGCTGACTCCAGGACGGCCTCATTCTTCAGCTTCTCACCAGAAACAACTGGATTGTGATCCCAGAAAGATCGCCTTATAGTGCAGCCTGGAATCTTAGAATAAAGAAGCTTCAAGTACAGAACATTTTTAGACCCAAAATCCCAAACGCCTAGCTGAGCTCCAGTGACTACATATGTGCCAGATAGGACATCAATAAAGGCATCATTGTGCTCGATTGGAGCTGTGCTCACATGTGAAAAGTTCTTCCACCTTACAGGTTCAAACCACCTGCTGTCCTGCTCTTCAGGCCCTCGCCACTTCGGCGCACCAATAGGGATATGAGAATCCCAATATTGGCGGAGGATTTTGGGCAGGGATGCCAAGTGCTGCATATGGACAGCCAATCTGTTCTGTTTTGCTCCTTCCAAACACAATCTGAGGCCCGTTACAGGCCTGCGGTTAACTGATACCTGCATTGTTGCCAGATAGCACAAGTTTTGATCATAACGTGAGCTTGAAGGTTGTATGGAGTTTTATATGTATCATAGCCTTGATTAGGCTGCAGCTGAACAGGATTGTTTACCTGTTCTTGGCTGATATAAAGCTTCTGACCCATCACGCTGAACTGCAAATATGGGCAGACTGGTTCTTTCCTGTGATGGCCTGGAAGATTTTCTCTTATTGGAGCCCAAACCCGGGCAACCTGAAATTCTAGGAAGTACTGCAGTTCCTCAATGGGAGGCTTATCTGTTAAATCAAAATAAAAGGAATTGTAGTTTTAGTGGTAAAAACGGATTCCGTCAAAACCAAATCCTAACAACAACAGAAATTTCTGAAGAAAGGTTTCTTACATTCCAAATAAAGAGCAATGGCACGTGTTAGATGGTCCTTCCCAGGAACTCCATCAAGAAGAAAAGTGATGGGCGTAAAGGTCATTTCTATAATGTCAGGTGCATGTCTTACAGTATTTTCCCACTGGCTGTGGTTCTGAACGAGATCATCCCCTCCTCTTCTTCTGAAAATGATAGTAAGATCCTGCATCATCCAGTATTTAGATTCAACGAAATGTTTAAGAACAGAAGAATATTCTTACAAAAAGAAACCAATTTAGTATGTTGATGTAGTTAACTTCGTTTGAGAATTTAGTATTTTAACACTTAATGATAAGAGTGTAACACAAACTACTTCAGTAACAAATAAGGTCACCAATGTCAATGAGCTTGCACTACATCATAGAACTCCCTAAGAAAATTAGAATAGCTTCACTTAGCTCCAATTAATTTTGCACAAAAGAACACAGAGATGCCCTTCAAGGCCTAACACTGCGCTAAAACACCATTACCTTGATGCATCAGAAGAAACCTCAAATACATAATTAAAACCAGGCCATATGTGTTTTTGTATGCCAAATGAAGTAGCATTTAAATCATAAAATTGATTTCTTTTCCAAAATAACATGAACAACATCCACATGTAGCATATCACACTAGATTCTATAAGTATTTGAATTGAAACTAAATATCTCAAAGATAAATGATATAACTATTTTATCTACACGTTAACTTATATAATTGAGCAAGCCGTTCAAGTTCTAAATTCATGCGGTATAGAGTAGGCATAAGACAACATTCATAAAACTACCACTATCAATTATAAGCCTGCAAAGCTTCTCCCTGTATTTGAAAATAGATTTGAAAATTTGCAACTCCCTTCTAATTAGGTTCAAACATAGGTGTAACTATGATGCAACACATGCCTTTCAATAATAATCAACTAATACAACCTAAAAAATACTAACTTCTTCATTAAACTAATGAATACCAATAGAATCATTGTCTTCCTCCTCCACGTATAACTGTATTTCCTACTAGAAAACACAGTAGCATAATTACTAGTCTCACAACGGCACAAAGAGATGAAATTCCTAATTCAAATAGTTGCACTAATAATGCACTCCAAAAAGCAAACATTCAACTTACACTAAAACTGAAAGCATAACAGAGACTTCTTACAGCCAAATTTATTTATTACATGCCTTCAAAAATAATTTTATAGGCTCCCTACATTCTAAGCTAAGAGGTATGATTGGTGCAAAATTAGTCCAATTCAAGTTTTAAGTTAAATCAAAAGATAAACATCAACTACATTAAAACTATTGTAAGTATAAATTCAAGCATCTTACATGTCAATCTTATACATATGGATAAAGCCTAAACTTGTAAAATTTGATAAAACAAGATAAGGCTTGTAGTAAATTATATAAGCCCATAACAATTTCCTGAATACTAGCTGCAGTCAAGCGCAACATATAATAACGGAACATGGAATCAATTGCAACAACATAACGTCAGAACAACTTCACATCCGCAACAGTTCATACCTAGTTCCCCGAATACACAAAACAAAAGAACAAAGACAACAAACACTTCCCAAAAAATTTCAAGAAAATAATTCTAAAAATTGAAGAGTTCCACGCCAACTATTGCATTTGCATATTACCCCTCATGGCTCACAATTAGAAAAAGTCACAATAGAAATAAACTAAACCTATATCACAACTCAAATCAATAAAATCATTGAAATTAACCTAAATTGAGCAAATAAAATATATCCGGAGCGTAGACTTGCTTTGAGTGCTCTAATTGCTTCAAAGCAAGAATGTCCAAGATACCACCAAACCCATTAAGTCCAACAAAACACCTCAAGCGTAGGGAACGAGATGAGCGCCTCACAACACAAATAACAAAATAAAATAAACCATTGAATAATAATAAATAAATTGTCTACAGATTGTCATTTGAAGCGACAAATAAACACGAAGATTTCCATTAGGGATGGGCAGTGGTACTTCTAAATGAGTTGGGAGTTAAGATGTGAATTTTTCATTTTTGAAGCATGTTATAAATATTTCATGCTAGATGTTAAACATTTTGCTTCAAAGTGGTTGTTAGTGAACACTTACTGAACCAAATAGAACTTCAATGTGAAATATTTAGCACTAAATGCAGTAAAAAAAAAAACTACTTTTAGCTTCCTTTATGTTTAAGAAAGGTTGACTCATTAAATTTGTTGTTCAGAGTTGCCTGCAAAATGAACTGGATAGCTTGCATCTAAATAGCTTCAGTAGTGGCGCATGGTCATTTTCAATCACAACGAAATCACTGGAAGGTGGCATTGCTTATGTTATTGAAATATTTTCTAACTGAGGTAGGGCGCAAAAAATTATGGGCAGTCCAACTGAGAAGTAATTTCACTGCTTCAACTGGGTTTTATGGTTAAAGGCTGCTTCGTTGTAGTTTGATGTGCACTCTTATAGCATTGCTTCACACCATACAAAAAGATCAAGTTTCGCTGCATGTTTAACAACAATTATCATAATGATAGATTTATCAAATAAATCGACGAGCCCAAAGAATCAACAAGGAATCATAGTCTTTCAAAAGAATCTAGAGTTGTAAGATAATCTTAGCAAATGTTTGGCAAATCCATGGTTAAATTTATATTCTTTGATCTGCAATTTTTCTTAATTTCAAGTTAATTTGCTTCATTAAAGAAGTAGTACTGCGCTTCACATCAATAGGTCATTTGGCTCAAAGTTGAAGCACTACTTTGGACAAAGTGAAAAGATAGATTAATGGTAATATAAAGTCAAGAGCTCGGAGATAAGGATACCCCTCTTAGAAAAGTTTCAGGTTTGTGAAGATGTAGCGCATCAAATCTAATGCATGTAGCTCCCACCAGCATGGAATATGGGAAGAGTTATTGCAGGCATGTTGAACAGATGTATGAAGAACAGAAAATAACATGAATGACATGGGATTAATTCCATAAGTTTTGAAACTAGTGAAAATGGGCTGAGTTTAGTTTGGTTTAATTTTCATAGTTTTTTTTTTTTTTTTTTGAAACATCACTAAACTGACCTCGCTCTTGTTCATGGTGTAGGCAACCCAAACCCCATTAAATTTTGCATCTATTGCTCGTGATTACTTAATTCCTTTCCTTTTCTTGCACTCAGCAAAGATGTTTCTTCCATTGTGATTCCTACACTAAAGCACAAACAAAGTTTTTGTTCATCATGTAGATAAAGATAATATTATATTTGTAAAACTAAGAAGAAATGCCAGTCTTGCAACAACAGGCGCAAAGCTTTATTTATGAATTTCTGTTGATAACAGCTTCTGTAAAGAGAAAAAAATATTAGCATTAACATTAGATATAGCTTAAACTATTTTGGTGGATGAGCTTCGGATAATCATTAAGAGATTATTGTGTTCACAACACAACAGTAAAATGAAATTCAATGAGACTGTGGATACCTCTTTTGCACTGAGATATGGAGCAGCAGGTGGCTGTGGATATACACCCTGACTATTAAAAGAAAAAGGATCGGCCGCCTAGCAATACACAGAATAAATAAATAAAAAGATAAAAATAAAACAAAACATATGGATGATATAAAATCAGCTTTAAATAAGAAAATAAGAACTAGCCTTATCTTTCATTTTCATTGGACCGGCACTTGAAAGCCCTTCATTTTCAGAGAATCTCTGATCTCCTATATCTTGGATATAATTTTTTATGTCCATGGATGATAAGTGTGATGAGCTATGCTGCTTGACATATATTACATCCTTACCACCAATGGTAACAGATGTAATAACATGGGTGCCATAACTTTCAATAAATCTGCAAAAAAGAAAATTTTTTTCAGTTCCAACCATAAACAATGAACCATCTTATTAAAACAAAAAACCTTCTTTACCTGGCTAACAAGGATGGTTCCCATGAACTTGATATGGCCTTCTTAACATCTTCTCTTAAAGATAGAGATTGTTTGGTTAGCATAACCGTACACAAAGGCAAAAACATTCCATCCATAGCAAGACTTTTTGTAGAAGCCATATCAATTTTCTTTGAACCAGTAAAGCTGAATGCAAAATTGAAACAACCAAGCGGAGTATTTCCTGATAGATGAGCTCTCTTATTAAATAATTCTACCATCTGCAGTGAGTCAACAAAAAAGAAAAAAAAAAACATGCTTTATTTATGTAAATCATGCAGCAAGTTCGCTGAAAATATAGAACTGATATAAATGCAGCTATTAGAAACTCCCCGAAATAATACTTTGATTGAAAATACACAATAGAGCATATAAGAAATGTAGGAATCTACAGCTACGCATACACAGGTGGACTAGAGATATAAAAGAATAGAAGACTGAAAATGCTTTTTATTACCTAAATATGTTTTAAGACAGCAAAAAATATTCAGGGTGTTTGGCTAAATGCAAGCCAACTGTTGTGGAGAATTTTAGTCATACAAAAGGTGAAAAAGAGGTTACAGAACGCTGATCAAGCATGTCTACATAAAACACTGTAATTTAAAGCAGTTTAAGAATGCCTTGAAACAAAAATGTCCTTGAATAAAATTTTATAACAACCCATTAATGTTATTTTCCATTTTAAATAAACCAAACCCTTCTTTTTTTATTGCTATGATAAAGAACTAAATAATCCCCTAACCATTGATTGGATTTTTAAATTAGGAGCAAAAATGGAATAGACTCCGATATATTGATGTATATGCCAACTAAAAAAGAGTTATGTGAGAAAGGAAAATAAATCAAAGAAAATATAGAGACTAGATGGAGAAGAGGGAATATCCCCATGATTTTTATTTCTCTTAAAAGAGTAAATACATGAGTCTTGACTCTTACAAGAAAGTCTTTTTGTAAGAATCCTAATGGAAGAAATCTCTTATACCTGAAGAAAGGCACCTGTATTGATAGGTTGAGCTGGCCTGAGGTGTGCTACATAGAACACGACTCGAAAATAAAAGGTACACTATACAAAATGTGGAATAAATATATAACAATATAGCTGCAATGTGGCTTCTGTATCTTATCAGCTTACTCAACCCATGGGTGTAATGATGAAGTTAATATGACTTATTTATGAGATCAGCCCTCTGAATACGCCGTAGATGAAAGCCGGATTGATTTGTTGATTTGTCTAACTGAGTTGTCTTGTTGAATTAGGCGACCCATCCGGTCGGGCTGACATGTTGAACTGGTTGGTCGAACTGGTTGGCCAACCCTTAACTTGACTTAAATCTGGTATAAAGAGTTATGGCTACACAGGTCCCGCTGTTAAAAGTAATAAAAATTTAAGTTGAAATTAATGATTGAGTTAAAAACGGGAGTACTTAAAACATTTGCATCTTGAATGTTTACAAAATCTAATTTTCTACTTTTCTTGTTCAGGGTATAATCTATAGAAAATATTCCTAATATCTCCTATTTCATTTTCAGATGATCCATGATAAAAATTGATGTAACCAAAATTTATAAATTTTAGCAATTATTAATGATAAGCTTCCTACCAAATTGCCTCCAACTTAGTTGAAAAAGTAAACGTGAGCAACAAATAATGCATCCTACTCGTTTACATTCTCAGGAAATAGAAGTGACTTTTCCTTGCACATTTAGACAACTATACAATCCTTTTTAGTAGTACATGAGAAAATATAGTGATCATGGTTGATGACAAGTGGAACAAGTTCAATATTTTATAAAGAACACAAATATTTGGAACATGAAGCAAGTGAATACTAGTGAAACTCACAAATAAAAAAAAATATTAAAAGCATTAAAAACATAAACGGGTTGATAATTACAACATAAAATAAATCGTAGTAGTTATAACATCCCACTCAACGCTCAAAAGTCACATAGACATCCATTTACAAGCCTCCATCACATTTCAAGTAAAACCTTAAAGTAAACTGATCAAATTCTGAAGAAAGTGTCCGATCAAATCAGATTAACACAACAGATCTTCAAGCTTATCAGATAATAATATTGAGGCCCACAAACTACTACCAAGCAAACAAATCTAGACACAAGAAGTGCAGAAGAGAGACGAATTGAAACTGCAACGCAAGCAAAATAACTAAATAGAACTAACCTCCAGGTAACAGCAAACAACAGCACTCTGCCGCCCTCCGATTTCTGGCGAGAACTTGACATCTCTTGAAACATCAGGCACCATCACATCATCGAAGGCAACCTGATCCCTAACGTGCTCTTCATCGACCTCCACAACCTTAGAACCAGCCATTCCCTTGCAATAAAGCAATCTCGTGTCATAGTTTACATCAAAACCGCATCCCAGAGCTTGGATCGAACTCCGGATGGTACGAATAGCAGCATTTTCCTCCATTACAAACTAAATCCAATGCAGAAATCTCCACTGTTCTACGGTCTTTCAATTAAAATAGACCTAACCTAAAACTCCAAACCATAACTCCAGTAAGTCCCCCGGGCTAATAAGTTTCTCTACAAATGAAATCCCAATGAAGCGCAACACAGAGTTCCTTCATCCCCATGTGGGTTTCCTCGAAAGTGGAAACAACTCGAACTAGAGGAACCGGTCTCAGCGATATGAGTGCCCCCTTTTTACCATGATCTTTAAGCTTCGATTCCTCGAAACCGATGAATCAAGAACTCCCTCGCTACCTCACCCAAATTTCCAGAGCCCCTAAAAAGAACGAAAGAAAGAAGTCTCCAGTTGCAAAAGTAAAACTTCATCGGTGTCGAACTGAAGAAAATTTAAAGCAAATCGAGAGTAAAATCATTCGGTGCGGAATGGCTCACTGAGTACGCTAAAAAGTCACCGAAATCGCTTTCCGGGGAAGAAAGTTCAGCTCCAGAGGCTCAAACATAGATTGACATGATTCCGTTGACTGTGAAGACAATGGACTCCAAGTAAGAAAAGGAAGTCTGATTTTCCGAGAAGGGCAATATTTAATACGCCCAATTGCCGGACAACGCTATGACACGTGGATTGGAGGGAGATGAGGTCATGAATGAGTTTGATTGTACATCAATTTACATTGACTTTGGAAACCATGCGTGGCTCGCCAAATGGCAAACCTTATTAATTCTGCCCCATATTGTAAGTGGCAGGAAATTTAAAATTAATAAATAATTAAGGGGCAGTTTGGACAAAACATAATCTAAACAAGCCGCATGTCTTGGGCGAACACGCTCGGCTTGTTTACCCCCCCCCCCCCCCCCCCCCCCCCCCCCCCTCCCTATTTTCTTATCATTTATTTTTTATTGCATTCACTTTTGTCCTTGCCAAGCTCACATTTTATTTTGTTTGTATTCAATGTAAGTGTTAAAAATTATTAAAATTTATACAAATTGTTCAATCCATATTTTTCTTGTGAATCACACCCAATAAATCGTATAGAAGATGAGAGAGAAAGAGAGAGAGAGAGAGTGTGTGTGTGCAACGACTTGCCCCTCTAGGGCAAACTAAGATATTTCGGGGATCTTGTGACCTTTTTTTATAATTGAATACTTTTGATGCATAGGGAAATAGAGAGAGTCAAAAGCCCCTCTTTGTAGAAATGATCACGCTATTTATACGCATGAAAGCATAAAGTGAAAAAATATATGATTGGCCCTATTTTTATGGGGGCGTTACAAGATGTTTTTGGCATATAAAAAATAAAAGAGTTTATGGTTCAGCTATAATATCGTTTGGTCACCAAGGACCTATAATCCTTGGGTCAGCTAGATACATTCGACCGACTCTATTGAGGTTGGGTGATCGGTCGCCCCTAGCGGTCCTTCGGTCATCCAGACTTCAGTTGGTGGGCTTGAGTTAGTCGGTTGGTTGTCTCGGTCTGATTGCCAATGGTTGAGTCTTGAATGAGAAACTCATGGTGTTGGGGTAGAAATAGGCTATTAGGTATAGGTTGAATCATTGTAATATGACATGTAGCATATTCCTTTTGACAAAGAATCAGTTTAGAAGGCTAGATGAATGTTTGATGATGAAAATCTTGGGCCTTTTGAAGAGTCCTAGAGGCTCCTGGTAATGCTTGGACAAGATTTGAACATGTTCCTTTCCTTGGTTCGATAGGCCTTGACCTCCACCTCAGCATTTGGTTGGGGGTCCCCAGTCCCTCTTTTGATACCCACTTAAGGGTTGTTCAGTATATTGGTCGCCTCCTCCATGCTCGTTGCCCAGATAGAGATACAACTAGAACCTTGGTTTGACTATCATATCATTCGGTCACCAAGGAACTATAATCCTTGGGTCAGCTAGATACATTCGACCGACTCTATTGAGGTTGGGCAATCGGTCGCCCCTAGCGATTCTTCAGTCATCCAGACTTTAGTTGGTCGGCTTGAGTTAGTGATTGCTTGTCTCGGTTCGATTACCAATGGTTGAGTTTTGAATGAGAAACTCGTGTTGTTGGGGTAAAACTAAGCTATTAGTTATAGTTTGAATCATTGTAATATGACATGTAGCATACTCCTTTTAAGAAAGAATCAGTTTAGAAGGATAGATGAATGTTCGGTGATGAGAATCTTGGGCCTTTTGAAGAGCCCTAGAGGCTCCTGGAAGGCTTCTGGTAATGCTTGGACAAGATTTGGATGGGTTCCTTCCCTTGGTTCGATTGGCCTTGATCTCCACCTCCGCATGTGGTTGGGGGTCCCCAGTTCCTCTCCTGATACCCAGTTAAGGGCTGATCAGTATATCGGTCGCCTCCTCTGTGCTTGTTGTCCAAACCGAGCTAAAACTAGAACCTTGGTTCGGCTATCATATCGTTTGATCTCTAAAAACCTATAATCCTTGGGTCAGCTAGATACATTCGACCGACTCTATTGAGGTTGGGTAATTGGTTTCCCCTAGTAATCCTTCAGTCATCCATACTTCAGTTAGTTGGCTTGAGTTAGTCGATTGGTTATCTCGACCCGATTGTCAATGGTTGAGTCCTGAATGAGAAACTCATGTTGTTGGGGTAGAACTAGGCTATTCGGTATAAGTTGAATCATTGTAATATGACATGTAGCATACTGCTTTTAAGCAAGAATTAGTTTCGAAGTCTAAATGAATGTTTGGTGATGAGAATTTTGGGCCTTTTGAAGAGTCTTAGAGGCTCCTGGAAGGCTTCTGGTGATGCTTGGACAAGATTTGGACGGGTTACTTCCCGTGGTTTGATAAGCCTTGACCTTTGAATCAGAAAACCTTCATTCGGTCAGCCTGAATCCTATTTTGAAGGAGTTGTAGCTGATGAATGGGATCCTTTGTAGCTGATGAATGGGATCCTTTGGTCATTTAGTAACATGGTTTCTGCTCCGTCTGGTTGGTCATCCTTGACAGTACTTTTATCATGTAGTCTGTTGACCTTTCTTGAAAGTCATGTTTCCAAAAGAATGAGAGAGGTTAATGAAAAAAGTATATTGATTTATTTTTGTATTCAGTACTTTAATAATTGAACTCCCTAGGTTTTTGTATCCATGAACTTCTATAAATAGGGCACGATTGGAGCTTCTTTTATTTTTCATGGTTTAAGTGCACATTATTAAGTTCGTTGGTTTCTAGAGGATCTCTATGGCTAACGACAAGAATACCCTGGAAGACCATAGTACTGAGGAAGTTTTGGAAAAAGCTTTTGGTGACTTTTCATTGTGAGTCCATCGAGAGAAGGAGCTCAAGAGAAGAGAGCCAACAGAGGGAGACAATTGTCTTGAGGGTGAGAAGACCTAAAAAAAGAAATCGAGTTAGGCGATCCAACCCGGGGTGTGAAGAAACCTAGGGTAATAATAAGGCAGACAGATGTTGGTCAACTTGAAGATGTAAGGAGAGTAAAGCAACTTGCTTACAAGAAGAAGCAAGTGGAAGACCCTTGAGACGAAGTTACGTTGTCCGACTCGTTGACCATTCTCTGACAAATAAAGGACGCCAACCCTTTGGTGAGCTAACTTCCACGCCTGCTGCGGCTAGCACTCAGCTGGTTGTTTAGATTGCCCATAAAAAGACCAGAGTCACCCTGCCCCCTGAATAAAGGTCTGGAATTCAAAAACCAGGCCTTGGGGATAAAATCATGCTCGCTTTGCAGGATCAAGGTCCTATAGTCCTGAAACCAGACCTTGGTTGAGCAGCTATAGATGCCCCATCTATATCGAGTGAGAGTTTTCATTGTTCCAGTGGTTCTAGTTTTATCTCGGTCTGGGCAACGAGCATGGAGGAGGCGACCGATATACTGATCAACCCTTAAGTGGGTATCAAAAGATGGATTTGGGACCCCCAACCAATTGCGGAGGTGGAGGCACTCCAAGAGGAGCTGGCGGCCCTAAAACTAGAGCAATTGATAGAGCTGGTGACTCTTCGAGTGGAGCTAGTCAACGCTCAATTGACTTGTTCAATCCATCAAATCCAAGCCTAATCTGACATTGTAGATAGAATTAGGTTTGGAGAGTGTCTGTTGTATGAGAAGTTAGTTCAACAGTGATTAGTCTCAGCCAAGATGAATAAGAACATATTTGTAAAATATTTTTTATCTCAATAAAGTATTTTACATTAATTTTTGCAAAAAAATTAGTTTATATCTCAAATTTTCTCAATTTTTGTGTTGACGTAATTTGGCCTCTTAAAGTTCACATGTGGCTTTGCTACAATATTTGAACATCCATTGGCCCCCCAATAAGTAGAGTTAAAAAAATAATTTTTATGTGCATTCAAATGTTTTTCCTCCATTCTTTTGGTTGACCACTTCTTCTTCGCTCGATCTTCTAGCCATTATATTTCCCAAAGTAGTTTGGGGCTTCTCACATAGCCAAGTAATCTACTTTATCTTTGATCGATGTTGCCTCGCTCAACAAGGGTTGTGCTTTTTATATCAATAATCATTTGTACATTGTCGGTCCGGACGGTCAGGTGACTGATGAATTTGGTTATAACTTGGTCTTCTATCATGACAAGTTTTAGTGGGGTCTCCGACTGCTACTTTGCAAGGAGCCCTGATCTATCCTGAATCGTTACAATGTGATCACTGCCCAACTCAAACTAAACTTGATTGGTGTGATTTTGTGATTTGTGATTTATTGCCGGTGGATAGAGATTTCGTGGTCCTATGGGCTTTTCTCCAACATTTTCTTCTTCTGGGTTGAGACGGACAGCTACGTGGCCTTTGGTTTGTTTGACCCAAATTTTCATATGTGTTGACCTCAATTTTGGCTGAGGTTTAGTTTTTCCTCTTTAGTAGTGTAGGGTCTAGCCATAGGACTTTTCCTGTTGATTATTCCTAGAAAACTAGACATGGAACCCTCACCACTAGAAATTCCAAACTCTTCTCCACTCAACTTGAAGTTCCACATGTTGCTCTCAACCTCTAAATACTTAGTAGGTGGGGTCACTGTGGGGGAAACTCAAGATGAGTTACCCTTAGGATTGTTGGACCTTAGGGTTGACCTTGGGTGTTGGTCTGGAGGTAAGAAACTCACTACACTTATCTACACTCACAATCACTCACTACCCTAAACTCAAATTTCTAGCCTAGATCCCTTGATCTTTTGGGATACTCATGTAGATGGTCCCCTAAACCTACTAGGGACTATGATTTAGCTAAGATCACTATGTAAAGGACCCAAAATGGGGTTTCCATTGGTCCATGGATTATTGGTGATGGTTGGTACCTCAGCTCTACCAAAATACCCATCTTGGCCTTTTACACCTAAAACACCCACAAATTACCAAAATACCCCTCCATAGCTAAAAATCCCAAAAATTCTAAAAATTCCCAGAAAATCCCAATAAATCCCAAATATTCCCAATTTCATTTCTCTTAACTACCATATGACCCAATTTGGCCAATTTGACCATCTTTAACCAAAACCCCCATATTTTCCTTTAAAAACCCAAATTTCTCCAAATCCAACTCAAATGTCCATCAATTTGATCTCAATTGACCCCAATTCCAATCCTAAACTCAAATTCACTTTTTATATGACCAAACTAAACCAAATCCAAGCTTAATTGGTCCATGATGTTTACCCAATTTTGATTTGAGTCAAAACCCAAATTTTGACCATATGACATAATCTCACCAAATTGAACTCATAG